ATGTTTGTTTTATTGTGGTTGCTTGTCGCAGTGCTACTCTGATACCATGGGCTTTTCTAATTCCATTACCGGGCTGTGTGTATGGAATCCCCAAGCGATCTATTTCATTTTCTCATCACAGGTTGTCGGATAATCAGTTGCTGTAACATATATTTATTTTTCATTCTGGGCATGATATTTTTCTAGTGTTTACTTTTTTACGATTGGTATCACATACATCTCCAATTCTAGCATTGCAGCATTTGGTCATTCCTAGCTTTTGTTCAGGATGAAAGTAAGCACTTCATTGTCCAGCATGTTTTGTGTATAAGATTTACAGAGCTCAGAACATTTATGCAAGGAATTGTGCACACAAATCAAACAACTTAAGCTGTTTAAATAATTCTATTTTGTTCAAATGAAAACCTCTAATTGTATGATTCATACGAGCTTTAAATCAGCTGAGAGTTGAAGGCAAGATGAGAATATAAAGAAACTTGGTTATATGCAGAGTGAACTAAAAAAATATTGACAATCATTATAATTTAGCTTGGATCAATATAATTGGGTCCTGTTTTGAATACTAACTGCCATGTGGCTTTGGTTCCCTCCTCAAGTTCATGTGCATGAGAAGTTTCAGCACCCTTTCTTCCATAGTTTGTTTTTCATGCCCTATCCTTTTCTAACTTTCTTATCCGCACACTTCTCCCGATTTCATTCTCTCTTGTTAGAGTTTATCTAACTTGATAAATTTGAAATAGGGGGAAAAAGGAGCGATATAATATTTTTAGATATTTTCAGGACATCCTTCTTGTTGTTTTGTGCTCCCATTCTATGATTCACTTGGACATTTAGTATTTTTCTGCTGAAGCTCCTATGGAACTATAATAAAGATGACTCTTATTTTTTTCTTTATCATTGACTGGTTAGAGTCATTTCTAAAAGCAGCACGCATCTATAATTAACTTTTCATAATTAACATGATCTAGTGAACTGCACATTTTGTAGTTGCCATTTTGTTTGTAATCGTGTGTGTTTTGGCACTTGCAGATACTGTTAGATTCAAGGAAATTCATATATCATCATTCGTGTTCTAGCGATGGAAGTGTTACTTTGGATAGTACCACAACCATTGATGGTTTTATGCAAAGAACTCTGGAGTTCAGACAAGAAATGCTTATGTACTGTCAAAGGACGTCCATAAACAGGTAGAGTAAGCCAGGGAGATGGATGGTGGAAATCTTGAAAAATCAATCCTCCAGGAGGGACCATCAGAGTTTCGCTTAACGCATACAGAAGCTGGCAATAGTATAATGGCCAAAGTGCTTGACAAATTTCAGTTGACCCCTCATCTCAGCGCAATACCCTAACGAGTGCTCAGAAGAGTACCAATATGCCATCATCTGAGATATTGTCAGATTTTGCGGTTGCATATTTCAGTTCAATTCATCAGTCTGCTTTCACTGTCTCCATGTTTCAAAAGAAAAGATTGTCTGCAGTCAAACTGAAATTTCTTACCATGTTGTATTGTGGAGATGATGCAGAGCAGGTGAAACTATATTTTCTTTGATTTAACAGAAAAACAATGAATGGGATTCTTTAGTGTTCCAACTGATAAATCAAACCATGCAGGATTGTGCACTAGATCATGGAGTCAGGTAGTGGTTTTATGGCTTGTTTACTTCTACCGTTGGATTTTTATAATTTTACTGATGGGAAATTGGATTTCTTTCAGAATTAATCATCACCGAGAAGTATTTCTAGTCATGGAATGCATAACCAATATCAAGCGTTAGGATACATTGTCGAGACAGTTGAGTCAGATCACACTTAAGCAGTTAAAGGTATCAACTAATCAATTCGTTTTTGGATTACTACACAGTCTATATATGGGATGAATCATGCCAAGCTTAGGATATAATTATTGAGACAGTTAAAGGTATCGACTAATTGATCTCATTTTGGATTACTCACACAGTCTACATATGGGATGAATCATGGCAACTAGTCTATCAAAAATTTTAAAAACTAGAAGCAATTTCTTGGTATGAAACTTTTGAGTTTCATCTTCTCGTGTGTTTAATGTTCAACCTTCCTGTGGAGTTTTACTTAAAAGACTGGTATAGCTGTAAGCTGAGGGCATAGCATAGCCTCCATTAAGCTACGCCACACCACACTTGTTTGGAATGTTGCTCACAGAGACTGTATTTCTAACATTCAGGCGTATGAACTTGAGATGGCGGCGTGGGCCTTGTCCAATGGTTGGATCAAAACATAAGGTTGTTTGGAAAGATTGGTCAATATGGAAAGTGACTGAGGATTCCATCATGATAGTTAGTTGTTCGAGAGCCAGAAGCATTTGAATGGCAATAAAAGTATGGCAGGTGAGCTTTCCTTGTACTCTTTCGCATTTCCTTTCCTACTTTGCACTCATATTGATTCCAGAGGTCAGTCCTGTAGATATTAAAATATCATCCACAAGAGAATGCACAACAACAAGGCTTTTATTCCATTTTTGGAATCGTTTTCATGAATCACGTTCATTCCATTCAGCTCCTCCTAATTAAGTGTATCATATCCTTAATCATTTTCTAACACGAGGTCTCTTAGGCTTACTCTAGAGTCCAAACTTCTTTGGGACGACATAGTGGGGGGGTGTGAATATTAGTTATCTTGTTGGGACCAAGCAGGTTTTGACGTCTTGGCCCCTACAATACCTTAAATGAAAAACAAAATTCCTTTTACTTTTACAGGTATTTGCTGTTGATATCTGCTTGTTATTTAAATACAATATCTCTCGTATTTAAATTTCATTTTTCCTAGAGAATAATACAAACCAACGAACAACTTATGCAAAATTAGTTTGGTCTTCTACTTCTAAGGCTATATCTCATGTATGAGGGTGCCTGAGGAATACATTATTTATTAAGTAGGCATTAATATCTTTAGTAAGATCCAATTAATTGAATACCTGGTGCTTTTGTGGGGAAGGGGTTGTGGGGGAGCTTTTTTTTATAGGAAAAACTTTGAAGCATACGGGACAATTTAAGTCCATAACAATGCACATAAAAAATGTATTATTTCAGCCACACCCTCTACACACAGACATAACCATATAAGAGAGAATAGAAACAGTGAATGGTATATTTTCTGGGTGTTTCGGTACGATCCTCCAGACCACCAAAATAAAAATCAGAACTGAGTCAACAGTGGATGTGAGTACCTAGGACATGTTGCTTCTATCTGTTACGCAGAGGTTTAATGTGTCAACTCGGGCGTTGTATAAGAACCATCGTATCTATGAATTGTATGGATTCTGTAGCAGCTGTGCGTTTATATCTCTGTCTACTGCATAATTGGCCACTGGCCGCATTGGTCGGGCTTGGTCCACCTCTTTTTAAGAGTGAACTTCTCCTGTCCGATATAATCTTGTGGCATGCTTTGGTCACGCCAACGTCGTGAAAAGAGAATGTCACCACACTGATGCCTTACTGGTTGATCTCCATTAGGCCCAAAGTACAGGACCACCAACTCTCCCTGCGGATAGTCAGATTTACAAGGGACAGTGGTAATACGTAAATAAATTAGGATTGCAAATAACACAAATATGGACTATTTCCGCTGTTTGACGTATTATGCTTTACGAGACTATGAGGATGAATTTCGTTAATCTTGGTCATTGAAGTAGATCTTGACATAATGCTGTCCTTATTGCTGGAGTATCAAGTTTTTTCTGATGTTCTTTCTGTATTTTGTGGACATTGTCTTAACATCTAGATTCAATAGTAAAAGATGAAGGCATTGGAAAGTACATTACCATTGCCTTTAGTCTAAGAGTTAATTTGATAGTTTTGAGCTGTCCATTGTACATCCGGAGAAGTGGTTGAACCTTATACCAAGGAACCAAAGGGAAGATTGCCTTCCCGTTAAATCCTTCACATTTCAAATTGTTAGCATTCGTTTCTTCTGTTGCCTGACACAAATTATAAAATTCAAAGAAGATGTCTGTAAGAATGCAATTTGATCAGTATACTATGAATATGTAATACTATAAAGCTGTTGACAAATCTGGGCTCACAATTGATCTAGATTAATACACCATTAATTTCCTGAATAATTGCCATTAACAACCTACTATTAAATCTCATTAACGAGCTAATTTATTTCTCTTAATTAACGCCAGTCTATATCTACTGTATTTCTCATTTAAACAGGTATGACGTTAATTTGGACAAAATCTTCGAAAACTGTCACTTACTCTGTTTCCTGGTGATAAACAATCCTCCCTCGGTATTTATTCCTTGGTGAAATAATACTCCGGTCAGTACGCGTAAGATCCGGACCGGATCTAGATCTCGCGGTGGTCACGGCAAACAACCGCCCGCGCGCAGGCAAAGAACCCACCAAGCGAGCGACCGCAAACAGGGGTCGCGTTTTCGACACAAAGGAGAAAAGTTGTAATCTTTGTTTTATTTTTATTTGATTTTCGTTGTAACCGGATCTTATAAAAAAGGACCGGATCTGTTTCGGTAATCAACAAAAAGTTGTAACTCAAGATGACAATGGAATCAATAACAAAGAAAGCAACGAATTTCCCCGCGAACAGTCATAGGGTGAATATAGGCAATATAATATATTTATGGGTTCAGCCCGCGAGCTTACGGTCAAACCGCTCAACAATGGTGATTATAAATCTCCTTAGTCATGAATTCCTCAAACTTCACATTTTCTGTAGTTGGTAAGCAATTGGCAGTTTATTAAATTCTCTACTAAATTCTCGAGTCAAAAATGGAGATACTATTCAGTTACTTGAGAATGCTGTTGCTTCAACTTCATATTCTTGATTCTTAGTAAAGTTGACAGAATGGTAACCAAAATACTGCTGAAAAGACATGCTTTTGAGAAACTTCAAGGTTGTGGATCGGTAGGAAGATCATATGATGGGTGTCTCAATCAAAGCCCTAAGCATATAATCTTTTATTTAGCATATGATAAATCATAATTTTTGTATGTACCTAAGGACTTAGGACAATGATGTGAACTGACAGTGATATTTATTTTTCCTTCTTGGTTGACAATCATATCCGTAGTCAGTGGCTATCAGTGAAGGAGAGCGAGCTAATTCCTAAGGGTTTACACATACAACAACATGGAGAGAAGCACATTTTGTATACTCCATTACATTTGGAATGCAATCCATTCCTATGAAAGATTGTTACTGATGGCTGGCAACAGGGTGTGATGATGGAACTGTGCGATTACAAGGTCACTTTCTCAAATCTCTAGTAGTCATTTATCAGTTGGTTAAGCTGAAACTTGATATTTTTGCTCATTCTATTTAAAGCATCGTTCTCTTTATAAAAGTAGCCAGCAAGATTGTTTTCCGGACACCATTTGCGGGTATCATATTCTTCAACTCTTGCGAGTTATGGTGACATGCAAACTAAATATTCTTAAATCTGACATTCATATTCTAGCCATTTAGCTTTACATTCCAGTTTTACTATTGTTGGCCAAGTTTGTGTTGCCATGTACAGTGTATAGACTTGTAGAGACTGTATACTGGTAGGATGACTAGATGGACATGGGCATTTCAAAATAGTCATGGTGAGTGAGTGACTGACCCGCCTTCAAAGGATTTTATGGATTTCTTTTGAAAGTTTAGTTATCTGTAATATGGTTCAAAATATTTTTCCTTCAAGGATGATGTAACCCTTATTCAGAATATGCAGATCAAGTAGCCAAACTATCGAATTTGTAGGATATTACTGCTGGTTGGGTCAGTATCTCCATTATATTTATTGTTTTCCATTTTCTGGTTTTTATTGTGTACATTGATTACAAAATATTGCATTTAACTGGTTGATCTTTGTTTGAGAATGCATAGGTGGATTATCATAGAACATGATGCTTTTCGTCGTCTATTGTGCATTAAGTTTACACTAGTAACTCAAGTATAAGCTTAAACATTGAGCCATGTTTACCTTGAGCACGGTTTGTCCACCAGTTGTGCTTAAATCATCCTCTTTCATTCTTTTTAGTCCCCCTAATAAGCTATTACTTAAGTGAGTGTTCTCTACAGAGGCTTTGTCCTTGGAAGGTGGTGCAAATCCAAATTGCTTGGGGAACATGTCTTTGGATCTGCCGTGAGGTTTATATACTTTATATTGAAGATGCACATAAATACTGTGAGTCAACTTTACAGCTCTAATCATGGTGTAGCTGACAAAAAATATGAGCCATTATTACTTATCTCTGTTGTGGCCAAGCAAGTTTTGATGTCTTGGCTTCTACAATATAGGAACTCAGAAATTGAAAATCTGCACCATGATGGTTCAAATACAGATTCTGAACTTGTACGTAGTCCTATTTTGTCAATGTATTTCCAGTGGCTCTCAATTCACATGCCACCCAAGTTTGCAGTGCTCATCAGAAAGTGAAAAGGAAACTGGAAGCTTCTGAGAGAGGAAACTGTTCAACAATGAAAAGTTTCCCAGCCTGACTCAGATTTAACTAAAATCAAGAAACTGAGGCCCAAAACAGAGCTTATGGATTGGCAAGACAATGACTGGAGTTATGTGGCAGTTGCCGCATTTCTTGTGAAACATGCTGATAGCAGGAAAGGAGATGCCTATTTGTTATCTAGGTGCATATATGTCAGCCATGTTAAATAAGTTGTACTGTATAATTGTTTTATCTACGAAATATCTATCATCTTTCCTCAAATACCAGGTTAAATGTTTGTTTTATTGTGGTTGCTTGTCGCAGTGCTACTCTGATACCATGGGCTTTTCTATTTCCTTACCGGCTGTGGTATGGAATCCCCAAGCGATCTATTTCATTTTCCTATCACAGGTTGTCGGATAATCAGTTGCTGTAACATATATTTATTTTTCATTCTGCATGATATTTTTTCTAGTGTTTACTTTTTTACATTGGTATCACATACATCTCCAATTCTAGCATTGCAGCATTTGGTCATTCCTAGCTTTGTTCAGGATGAAAGTAAGCACTTCATTGTCCAGCATGTTTTGTGTAATAATTTACAGAGCTCAGAACAATTTATCAGAATTGTGCACACAAATCAAACAACTTAAGCTGTTTAAATAATTCTATTTTTGTTCAATGAAAACCTCTAATTGTTGATTCATACGAGCTTTAAATCAGCTGAGAGTTGAAGCAAGATGAGATATAAAGAAACTTGGTTATATGCAAGAGTGAACTAAAAATTGACAATCAGTTATAATTTAGCTTGGATCAATATAATTGGGTCCTTTTTAGAATACTAACTGCCATGTGCTTTGGTTCCCTCCTCAAGTTCATGTGCATGAGAAGTTTCAGCACCCTTTCTTCCATAGTTTGTTTTCATGCCCTATCCTTTCTAACCTTTTTCTTATCCGCACCTTCTCCCGATTTTCATTCTCTTGGTTAGAGTTTCTAACTTGATAAATTTGAAATAGGGGGAAAAAGGAGCGATATATATTTTTAGATATTTTCAGGACATCCTTCTTGTTGTTTGTGCTCCCATTCTATGATTCACTTGGACATTTAGTATTTTTCTGCTGAAGCTCCTTGGAACTATAATAAAGATGACTTCTTATTTTTTTCTTTATCATTGACTGGTTAGAGTCATTTCTAAAACAGCACGCATCCTAATTAACTTTTCATAATTAACATGATCTAGTGAACTGCACATTTTGTAGTTGCCATTTTGTTGTAATCGTGTGTGTTTTGGCACTTGCAGATACTGTTAGATCAGGAAATTCATATATCATCATTCGTGGTTCTAGCGATGGAAGTATTACTTTGGATAGTACCACAACCATTGATGGTTTTATGCAAAGAACTCTGGAGTTCAGACAAGAAATGCTTATGTACTGTCAAAGACGTCCATAAACAGGTAGAGTAAGCCAGGGAGATGGATGGTGGAAATCCTTGAAAAATCAATCCTCCCAGGAGACCATCAGAGTTTCCTTAACCATACAGAAGCTGGCAATAGTAGTAATGGCCAAAGTGCTGAACAAATTTCAGTTGACCCCTCATCTCGACGCAAATACCCTAACGAGTGCTCAGAAGAGTACCAATATGCCATCATCTGAGATATGTCAGATTTTGCGGTTGCATATTTTCAGTTCAATTCATCAGTCTGGCTTTCACTGTCTCCATGTTTCAAAAAGAAAAGATTGTCTGCAGTCAAAACCTGAAATTTCTTACCATGTTGTAGTTGTGGAGATGATCAGACAGTGAACTATATTTTCTTTGATTTAACAAGGAAAACAATGAATGGGATTCCTTTAGTGTTCCAACTGATAAATCAAACCACATGCAGGATTGTGCACTAGATCAGGAGTCAGGTATGGTTTTATGCTTGTTTACTTCTACCGTTGGATTTTATAATTTTACTGATGGGAAATTGATTTCTTTCAGAATTAATCATCACCGAGAAGTATTCTAGTCATGGAATGCATAACCAATATCAGCTTAGGATACATTGTCGAGACAGTTGAGTCAGATCACACTTAAGCAGTTAAAGGTATCAACTAATCAATCTCTTTTTGGATTACTACACAGTCTATATATGGGATGAATCATGCCAAGCTTAGGATATATTATTGAGACAGTTAAAGGTATCGACTAATTGATCTCATTTTGGATTACTACACAGTCTACATATGGGATGAATCATGGCAACTAGTCTATCAAAATTTTAAAACTAGAAGCAATTTCTTGTATGAAACTTTTGAGTTTCATTTTCTCGTGTGTTTAATGTCACCTGTCCCTGTGGAATTTTTACTTAAAAGACTGGTATATGCTTTCAGCTGAGCATAGCAGCCTCCATTAGGCTACGCCACAACCACCACTTGTTTAATGCATATTGCTCACACAAACTATTTCTAACTTCAGGCATATGAACTTATGGCACGTGGGCCTTGTCCACTGGTTTGGATCAAAGAATAAGGTGTTGGAAGATTGGTCAATATGGAAAGCTGACTGAGCATTCTCATCATGTAGTTAGTGTTCGAGAGCCAGAAGCATTTGATGCAATAAAGTATGGCAGGTGACTGTTCCTTGGTACTCTTCGCATTTCTTTCCTACTTTCAATCAATTGATTCCAAGGTCAGTCCTGTAGATATTAAATATCATCCACAAGAGAATCAACAACAAAGCCTTTTATCCCATTTTTGGGATCGTTTTCATGAATCACGTTCTTCCATTCAGCTCCTCCTAAGTTAAGTGTCATCATATCCTTAATATTTTCTAAACAAGGTCTCTTAGGCTTACTCTAGAGTCCAAACTTCTTGGGGAGCATGGGGGTGAATATTAGTTATCTTTGTTGGGCCAAAGCAGGTTTTGACGTCTTGGCCCCTACAATACCTTAAATGAAAACAAAATTCCTTTACTTTTACAAGTATTTGTTGATATCTGCTTTTATTTAAAATCAATTATCTCTCGTATTTAAATTCATTTTTCCTAGAATAATACAACCACGACAACTATAATGCAAAATTAGTTTGGTCTTCTACTTCTAGAGGCTACTTCTCATGTATTGAGGTGCTGAGGAATACATATTTATTAAGTAGAGACATTAATATCTTTAGAGGCTACTTCTCATGTATTGAGGTGCTGAGGAATACATATTTATTAAGTAGAGACATTAATATCTTTAGTTAAGATCCAATAATTGAATACCTTGTGCTTTGTGGGAAGGGGTTGTGGGGGAGCTTTTCTTTTATGGAAAAACTTGAAGCATAACAAATTTAAGTCCATAACAATCACATAAAAAATGTATTATTTCACACACACACACACATATAGAGAGAGAAATAGAAATCAGTGATGATATATTTTTCTGGGTGTTTCGGTTACATCCTCCAGGACCACCAAAATAAAAATCAACTGAGTCAACAGTGGATATACCATAACATTTGCTTCTATCTGTTACGAGAGTTAATGTGTCAATCTCGGGCTTGTATAAGAGACCATCTTGATCTATGAATTGTATATTCTTCACACATGTTGCTTTTTATATCCTTCTACTGCATAATGGCCACTGCCCATTGGTGGGCTTGGTCCACCTCTTTTAAAAGTAACTTCTCCTCTGATATAAATATGTGATGCTTTGTCAGCCAACGTCGTAAAGAGAGATTTAGGCCAATATCCTACTGGTTGATCTCCATTAGGCCCATAATACAACCACCAATCTCCGGTATCAAGATTCTGACAAGACATTTAATAATAAATAATTAATCAAATAAACAAATATGAGCTATTCCCTTTTACGTATACTTTACAACTATGAGAATGAATTTCTTAATTTGTCATTGAATAATCTTGAACATAATGCTGTCCTTATTGTGGATATCAATTTTTTCTAGATGTTTCTTTCTTATTTTGTGACCATTGTCTTACATCTAGATTCAATAGTAAAAGATAAGGCATGTGACAAAGTACATTTACCATTCCTTTTTAATCTTAAGAGTAATTTGATATTGAGCTCCATTGTACACGGAGAGTGGTTGAACCTTATACCAAGGAACAAAGGGAGATGCCTCGTCCCGTTTAAATCCTTCACATTTCAAATTGTAGCATTCTTTCTTCTGTTGACCTGACTACAAAATTATAAAATTCAAAGAAATTGTCTGTAAAGAATGCAATTTGATCAGTATACTATGAATATGAATACTAAAAGCATTGGACAAATCTGGCTCAAAATTAATTCAGATTAATACACCCATTAATTCCTAATAATTGCCATTAACAACCTACTATTAAATCTCATTAAGAGCTAATTTATTCTCTCTTAATAGGCCATTATATCTATTATTTCTCATTTAACATATGAGTTAATTTGGACAAATCTTCTAACAACTGTCACTTACTCTCCAAAGAACGAAGAAGTGAGTCTCATGATCACCGTATAGCTCCGGGTATACCTAAGGCGTGATAAAGTTAAGGTGTTATACCTTGAAAACTATTTAGTAGAATACACGAATACATTCTTTTTCTAAACGTGATAAAGTTAAGGTGTTATACCTTGAAAACTATTTAGTAGAATACACGAATACATTCTTTTTCTAAATATATAAAAGAAACTGCAAATAACCTTGAAAACTATTTAGTAGAATACACGAATACATTCTTTTTCTAAATATATAAAAGAAACTGCAAATAACAGATATGATGTTTGGAGAAATTGAAGGCCATGAGCAATGCTATAAATGAAGAATCTAAAAATTAATATAGGTGATATGTTGAAAGAAAGCTGCTAACATTAAATAAGGCAAAATACACTGAAAAATAGTGGAATAAGCGAGAAAGGTTATTGAGCTAATATCTCATAAGATTTATGATACGTTGATCGTTTCTTTTGTGATTTCATATATTTTAATATAAAAAGAATCAGATAACAAGAATAAAGGTATCATAGTAGAAAATGTTGTAAATCTCCAGTTCAAATTTCTATGCACTATTAGTGATAAGTGTATTCTTTTTAGTGAAAAACTATAATTATAGGACAAATTTTCAAAACCAACACCTTTCACTATTTATTTTTAAAAAACGACCGCTTTTGCAAAAAATTTTAAAAAACGATCTGGTTTCAGCCCTGGAGCTGAAACCAGGTCGGTTTTTAAAAAATTTTATCCGAAACTTCACGGGAGTTGAACTCCCGTGAAGTTTAGTAAAACTGCTAAACTTCACGGGAGTTGAACTCCCGTGAAGTTTCGTAGTTTAAATTTTTTTTAACTGCGAAACTTCCCGTTCAACCCCCGTGAAGTTTAGCAGTTTTACTAAACTTCATGGGAGTTCAATTCCCGTGAAGTTTCCAAAGTTTTTTCACAAAAACCGACCTGGTTTTAGCGCCAAGACTGAAACCAGGTCGGTTTTTGCAATTAAGTTTGAAAGGGGTTGTTTTATAGGATTAAATTTCCAAATAGGTTGGTTTTGAAAATTTGTCCTATAATTATATCTCTTGGTAATATATTTTATTACTATTTTTACTGGTGCTTTATCTGGTGGAATATTCTGGCATCATCCCAGTGTGTGAAAATAATAAAATCTTCCTCAAATATAAACTGATTTACAACAGTACACACTAGTTTTCAATATATATATAAGATGAAGTTTGATACCTGGTATTCCATCTTGCCTTCATACTTGCTTTCATCTATTGCATTACCTTGAAAACTTAAGCAAAGTAACAAGCACAAGAAAGCAGTAGCCAAGAATCCTCTATGAGCCATTTGGAGACCAATGCCTCTGATTGGAAGTTATGGGTCTTTATATGATTTATGAATCAAATGGATTCCATTAGCTAATGGAATTCATTTACTAAAATAAATAAATAATTAATACAATATCTCCAACTTGATTACATTAGATTGCAGAAGATAATTATATATTCTCAAAAGCAATGTTATATTAAAAGCTGGGCGCATCTAGACGTCGGACTTGGCGTCCAGCGCTTAGTCGCCTAGGCGGGCGCTTAAGCGGTTTCTGGACATTTTTTTCCCTTCATTTAAGTGGTGGTCGATGAGGTTTTGCTGAAAGTCGGAGGAGGTAGTGAAAGTGTTCATATTTGAAGGTTAATGGAGTTTAGAGAACGTGTACGTTACGACACATAAAATCACAATCAAGACCTACAGGGTGCAATCTATGTAAGCAGACAATGCTTCCCTAAACGCTCGTAAAATTTAGGTGGGCAGCCTAAATACCGTATAGACGCTAGGCGCTAGTTAGACGGTCTAAGTACCGCCTAGGCTTAGGCGTACGCCTAAGCGGACTAGGTGGAGGTTTTTTAAAATAGTGCTCAAAAGGCAAGGAGGTAATTTAACTATGGAAAAAAGATAAATGGCGATAAATTTATTTTAATATTTTTTTCTAGTAATATTTTGTTATTTTAGCTGGAGATTACCCAAATGAACCATCTTTCAGGGGTCATTCTATAATTTTTGAAATTCTCAGGAGGTTTTTTTTCCAGTTTTTTGCGGGTCGTTTGTAATTTTTAGGGGGGCGGGGGGCTGTTTGTAATTTTTAAACCTTAAGGGGTTGTTTTCAATTTCAAGATTTTCCGGGTGTTTGTTTGCAAATCCGAGTTTTTCATGGGGTTGATTGTAATTTTTAGAATTTAAGGGGCTTTCAGATTTTTTCGAGCGTTGCTGATAATTTTCACATTTTTAAGGGCTCTATTTAAGTTATTTATTTTCTTATGGTTTGTTTTATAAATTTCATACATTTTTGTTCGGGCAATAAAATCATAGATCTGGTGGGTTAAAATATGCAAATAAGGATGGTTCAGGGTATTATATGCAGAAGATCCTTTTTTTTCTTACTCTAATTATCTTGAAGGATATCTTTGTCCAAATATAATGCTTTAAACTAGTGATGTGAAAGCTTAACACATTTAATTTAATAATCACCAATACTTTCTTTTATTTCTAATATCATTCTTAGTGCAAACTTGTGTAGAGTTGGGTCCAAAAGGCTTTCAAGAATAAGTAGAAATGAATGTCTTTATTAAAATTAGCCTAACTATATGGAATTCCGCCCCGAATAGAAAAACTAGTATGTACACGTATCATTTATGAGTATATACGTATTTCGTTTACGTGTATATACGCGTACTGTTTACGCTTGTATACGCATGAATAAAACCACCACGTATGCTTTGATCCCTCCCGCCCTCTCTCGAATCTCAACCCTGGATCTCAATTTAGGGACTTCTAACGATCTATGATTTCTGACAATCTAGGGTTTGAGCTCGAAGAAGCAGGTATGTCTCTCTCCCCCTCAAATTAATGTCATCTTGATTCAATATTTCACCTTCCTAATTTCTCCATGCCTTGAATTTCTCTACATTTCTATAACTTTTTACAATCTTCAACAAACCCAAGAAAAAAAATGTAAACTTAGTGCCCTAGAGTCTATCGTTTGAAATTATTTTGAATTTTAGATGAAGCCTCACCATTGTCATAAAAAATAGCAACAAAAAGATCACGGTTTGAAATTATTTTGAATTTTAGATGAAGCCTCACCATTGTCATAAAAAATAGCAACAAAAAGATCACGGGTATATCATCGTCATCATTTAGAAAAAAAATGAAAGATAGATGCTTTAAACAGAAACTGCAAATATCCACTAATATCGCAAGAAAATTTGACAAAGTTAAAGATCATATTAAACGACTCAGATAATATTCTGATCATCAGCAACAACTAAGTTCCATTAATGATAAAAAATCTAAAAAGATCTTAGATCTAAAATTCAACGAACCATGCAACACCTAAGCAAAAATTTATCAACCAACATAACCAGATCTAAAATCGACAAACTAGATGTAGCAAGAGGTTCGATCTCAAATTAATGGGAGATTGAATGATTAGAAATCTAATTAACTCCTCATTGAATTACTACTACTTACTTACTACGAGCATTATCTAAGTGTCCTCCTCATCAATCTCCTCGTCATCATGAATGATTTCCAGTCTCCTGCTCCTGACTTGCCCCGATTGCCGCCTTGGCGTTAACCACCTCAGAGTTCTCCTCGCAGTGATCCTCCTCGTGAACGACCATTTCAGCCTCCCTTTCATAGTTGTTGTGTCAAACGCCACATAATTGCTTACATTTATGATGCATGTGCGAGTAGTGAGAAACCATCGTAGACTTGTAGTAGGATGTTGCACGTAGGCGGCAATGATCTTGTTGGTGGCTGCCTTCTTTGCCTTAGTTGCCCTTGAAGTCTTGTGACTGGCCACGAAGCTATGATCACCGTACAAACGATGAGAGAGAGAGAGAGTCTTGTGATTGGCCACGAAGCTATGATCACCGTACAAACAATGTGAGAGAGAGAGAGAGAGAGAGTTTTGGGAATTGGGGATGCTTTTGGCAATCTCTGAATTTTTTTGGGAAGCAGTGTGAATTGAGTGGGAGTTTAATTGTCTTCTTATAATAGTATGTGTTGATTTCCTTCCCAAACTTTTCAATTATTTACATTTTAATTTTTTTTACATTTCAACAAGTCAGCAAGATGCGGCCATCACAATATCCTGTAACCTTTTCCTATTAATGGGGATTGACGTACCTTTTTCTATTAATGGGGATTGACGTAAGCAACAAGAATTTAGTAAGGTCCATTTACCACCCATAATTTTTATTGTTTCATCACTCTGTAATTTGCAATTACAAGGAGGAAGATCACCACGAGGAGGATACTGAGGTGGTCAACATCGAGGCGTCAATCAGGGCGTCTCAGGAGTAGGAGACCGAAATCATGCATGATGACGAGGAGATTGATGGGGACGCTTAGATAATGCTTGTAGTAAGTAGTACTAGTTCAGTATAGATTTCTAATCATTTAATCTCCATTTGATTTGAGATCAAACCTCTTGCTATACCTGGTTCGTCAATTTCAGATTTGGTTGTGTTGGTTGACAAATTTCTGCTAGGGTGTTGTATGGTTGGTTGAATTATAGATCTAAGATCTTTTTAGTTTTTTTGCTTATTAATGGAACTTGGTGGTTGTTGATGATCTGCATCTTAATCTAAGTAGTTGGATATGATCCTTAGATTTGTCAAGTTTTCTTGCTATAATTGTGGATTTTTCTAGTTTCTCTTTAAATTAGCATTTTTTTGAATAATGATATAGCCCATGATCTTAATTTTGTTGCTCTTTCTGGTTTTCTTCTAAATGATAATGACATAATCCGTGAAACTGGGTATTATGCTGGTGAAGACACTCCGAAATCGATCTTTTCTTCGGTTAGTGTTTAAATTTGCTATATTCTCCTTTTTGTAATGTATAAAAATATGATATATTGAATTTGTTGAGTTAATCTGTGCAAATCATGATTATTTACTTGATTAAATTATGTGTCCTCTTTATATCTTATTCCCTTGTATTTTGGTTCCCTAATTTGCAGTTATTGGGTTGATCTATATTGTTCGTGGATTTCTTAATGCTGTTAAGTAGATAAATACCAGAATCCCATTTTGTGGATTTATTATTTGCTGTTGATTTTGTAGAGGTGAGATTGGAGGAGTAGAATGATATCCTTTCAAATTATCATTATCGAGTGCAATAATGCACAGGCTGAATGTTGCATTCAAAGAAGAAGAAGAAGAAGAGGAGGATATCATTTAGTTTTGTTTGCCTCCTTTTCTTACATCTCATTTGAATCTAGTTTGTTATAGTTATTTATTGTTTGTTGTTTAATTATTTTGTAGAGGAGTGATTGGAGGAGTAGAAAGGTATCATTGCAAAGTTTCATTATCAAGTGCAATTATGCATGAGTTAATTTCACAGTCAAAATAGAAAGAAGTTACGATTATTCAAAGAAAAATTCACCTTCGCCCTTTGGTTTGCCTCCTCTTCTTTAAATCTCATTTAATTCTATTTTGTTATGGTTATTTATTGTTTGTTATTGATTTTCCAAACGACAGATATGAGGAGTAGACAGATTCTTGCAAACAATCATGATCCATCGTATTTATGTGCGGGCTCGAATCTCGCATTCAAGGAAGAAGATGCAATCATTCAGAGAAGATTCATCTTTGGTTTGCCTTCCCTTCCTTAAATCTTATTTAATTCCATTTTTTTAGGGTTATTTATTGTTTGTTGATTTTGTTGAGGAGAGATTTGAGGATTCGGAAGATATCATTGCTAAGTATGATGAGTGTCTGTGAGTATACCAGTTCCTGCTCAATTTGCACTTTTAATTGAATAGATGAATTGAGTTAATTATTTCTTGTTGATGTAATGACTAATGAAGCATTCACCTATATCTCAATGATCTGATTTCTGAAAGATTTAATTATGTTTGCTGGATGATCATATATCATGCATGCCAAATTGCATAATGGATGAAAAGAAGAAATAAGCGAGATTTCTCTTTGGCTTCGCTAGGACCTACCCATGTATGCGCATGTGGCATCCTCTAAAACCATACAGTAGTTTTACCATCAGAAAAGAACATGTTTACTACAAAGGCTGTCTTAGCTGGGAAGCCTGGGATGAAGCATATTCCTGTAGTTGTTGTATTTCTGAAAATAATTAATGACCCTGGACTTTAATGAAGCATTTTTTTAAGAAAAAAGGGATGAGATTCTAAATTAAAACCCCAGCCATCCAAAAAAATATCAAGAACATAAACATCATATCGATTCAGTCTTTCACCTTCCTAATTTCTCCACTCCTCGAATTTCTCTCCATTTTTACAACTTTTTTACAATCTTCGAGCTAGTTCCCGTTCAAACTGCATCATCTTCAACAAAACCCTAGAAAAGATGGAAACTTGGCGCATTCGAGTCTATCATTTGAAGTTATCTTGATTGTTAGGTGAAGCATAAGCCATTGTCCTCTATTAAGGTTCTCACACTTGTGAAGCTGGGCACGCTGGTGAAGACGCTCTGAAACCCGGGTTTGCTTCGGTGAGTGTGTTTAAATTTGCTGCATAAACCAGTAAATATATCGAAATTGTAGGACTAATCTTTGAAAAGCTGAAGCATGATTTTTACTGATTAAAACTTTGAAGCATGATTTTTACTGATTAAAACTTTGTATCCCTTTTCACCCATTGTTTCTTCTTCCCTTGCGTTTTAGTTTTCCTTACTTACGGTTATTGTCCCGATCTGCAACTCTTCATGCATTTTCCTGTTTGCTATATATACTGACCTTATGTAGGTGAACATGCTAAGTGAGGTAACCTAAAGCTACAATTTATTCAATTTTGTGTTACAACTTGTTTCTATGATCTCTCGTGCTTGATCTCATTTGGCATTTTTGTGAACAGATGAAGATTTGACAACTTATTACATGGGTTTATTGTTTGTTGTTGATTTTGCAGAGGAGAGCTTAAGATCCTTGCAAAGTATCATTATTGAGTGCAATTACACACAGTCTCAACGTTGCATTCAAAGAAGAAGAAGAAGAAGAAGAAGATATCATTCACTTTTTGGTTTGCCTCTTCTTCTTTACATCTCATCGGATTCCAATTTGTTACAGTTATTTATTGTTTGTTGTTGATTTTGTAGAGGAGTGATTTGAGAAGTAGAAAGGCATCGTTGCAAAGTTTCATTATCGAGTGGAATTATGCATTGATCTTGAGAGGAGAGATTTGAGGAGTCGAAAGATATCCTTGCAAAGCATCATGATCGAGTGCCTGTAAGTATACTGATTCCAGTTCAGTTTGATTCCATGACTTTGATGAAGCATAATTCTACAACTGCTGCATCACTGGAAATAATTGCTAACTAACCTATCTGTAAGCTAAAAATTGAATGATATATGTTTCTATGTAAAAAAGTTTGTTGTCCATTGATAGAGAGCACTCCTTATTCACATGTAAAATCAGCTTAATCTTATGCTGCTTATATTGGTTCTCTTGTTGGAAATTGTTGAAAACTACTCTATAGACTGAAAATTATTTTCTTGCGGGTCCTCATATGTGGTGATCAGCAGGGTAATCTAAGCATGTGTGCTTTGTCAGATGGTCTTAAAGTTGATAAGTCAAGTAAGATAGAGGAGAATTTTCTTTATTCAGTCAATTTAAAGGGGCCCATGGGATTTCTTGTAATACCAGTGTTCTGATTACTACATTGAATCTATATGAATGCGCACGGTAATGACTGTATGTTTAATTTAACACCATATAAGTCCTGCAACACACCACTTATTTTATCTCTCTTTTTTAGACTGGTGGCAATGGATGCATTTGCAGCACACCACCTATTCTCTCTTTTGTGTTTACTAGAACGAAGCAAGTGCAAGAGTTGAGCACCAGAACTGTTCTTATCTTGGAGATGTTTCTGAACACTGGCACTGTTTTGCATTGTATGTAACTGTCGCTTCTTCATCCCTTCTCTTTTAGGAAAGTTGCATCACATATAATTTGTCACTGTTGTGTAGGATGGAAACTACAAGTATAGAATGCTTCATCAGTTTTTTGAGAGAATGAATTAGTTTTTCATGTCTGGTTACTATATATATGTGTGGCTATGATCACCGTACAAACGATGAGAGTGAGAGAGAGGGAGGGAGGGAGGGAGGGAGGTGGATTTTTCTAGTTTCTGTTTAAATTAGCATCTTTTTTTTGAATGATGATATAGCCCATGACTTAATTTTGTTGCTATTTCTGGTTTTCTTCTGAATAATAATGATATAATCCGTGAAAGTGGGTATGCTGGTGAAGACACTCCGAAATCGATGTTTTCTTCGGTGAGTGTTTAAATTTGCTATATTCTTCTTTTTGTAATGTATAAAAATCTGATATATTGAATTCGTTGAGTTAATCAGTGCAAATCACGATTATTTACTTGATTAAATTATGTGTCCTCTTTATTTCTTATTCCCTTGTATTTTGGTTCCCTAATTTGCAGTTATTGGCTTGATCTACGATTGTTCGTGGATTTCTTAATACTGTTAAGTAGATAAATACCAGAATCCCATTTCGTGGATTTATTGTTTGCTGTTGATTTTGTAGAGGTGAGATTGGAGGAGTAGAATGATATCCTTTCAAAGTATCATTATTGAGTGCAATTATGCACAGGCTCAATGTTGCATTCAAAGAAGAAGAAGAAGATGAGGAGGATATCATTCAGTTTTGTTTGCCTCCTTTTCTTACATCTCATTTGAATCTAGTTTGTTATAGTTATTTATTGTTTGTTGTTTATTTTGTAGAGGAGTGATTGGAGGAGTAGAAAGGTATCCTTGCAAAGTTTCATTATTGAGTGCAATTATGCATGAGTCAATTTCACAGTCAAAATAGAAAGAAGTTGCGATTATTCAAAGAAAAATTCACCTTCGCCCTTTGCTTTGCCTCCTCTTCTTTAAATCTCATTTAATTCCATTTTGTTAGGGTTATTTATTGTTTGTTGTCGTTTTTCCAAACGAGAGATATGAGGAGTAGACAGATTCTTGCAAACAATCATGATCCATCGTATTTATGTGCGGGCTCAATCTCGCATTCAAGGAAGAAGATGAAATCATTCAGAGAAGATTCATCTTTGGTTTTCCTTCCCTTCTTTAAATCTTATTTAATTCCATTTTGTTAGGGTTATTTATTGTTTGTTGATTTTGTAGAGGAGAGATTTGAGGATTCGAAAGATATCGTTGCTAAGTATGATGATTGAGTGTCTGTGAGTATACCAGTTCCTGCTCAATTTGCACTTTTAATTGAATAGATGAATTGAGTTAATTGTTTCCTGTTGATGTAATGACTAATGAAGCATTCACCTATATCTCAATGATCTGATTTCTGAAAGATTTAATTATGTTTGCTGGATGATCATATATCATGCATGCCAAATTGCATAATGGATGAAAAGAAGAAATAAGCGAGATTTCTCTTTGTCTTCGCTAGGACCTACCCATGTATGCGCATGTGGCATCCTCTAAAACCATACAGTAGTTTTACCATCAGAAAAGAACATGTTTATTACAAAGGCTGTCTTAGCTGGGAAGCCTGGGATGAAGCATATTCCTGTAGTTGTTGCATTTCTGAAAATAATTAATAACCCTGGACTTTAATGAAGCATTTTTTTGAGAAAAAAGGGATGGGATTCTAAATTAAAACCCCAGCCATCCAAAAAAATATCAAGAACATAAACATCATATCGATTCAGTCTTTCACCTTCCTAATTTCTCCACTCCTTGAATTTCTCTCCATTTTTACAACTTTTTTACAATCTTCGAGCTAGTTCCCTTTCAAACTACGTCATCTTCAACAAAACCCTAGAAAAGATGGAAACTTGGCGCGTTCGAGTCTATCATTTGAAGTTATCTCGATTGTCAGGTGAAGCATAAGTCATTGTCCTCTATTAAGGTTCTCACACTTGTGAAGCTGGGTACGCTGATGAAGACGCTCTGAAACCCGGGTTTGCTTCGGTGAGTGTGTTTAAATTTGCTGCATAAAATAGTAAATATATCGAAATTGTAGGACTAATCTGTGAAAAGCTGAAGCATGATTTTTACTGATTAAAACTTTGTATCCCCCTTCACCCATTGTTTCTTCTTCCCTTGCGTTTTAGTTTTCCTTACTTACGGTTATTGTCCCGATCTGCAACTCTTCATGCATTTTCCTGTTTGCTATATATACTGACCTTATGTAGGTGAACATGCTAAGTGAGGTAACCTAAAGCTACAATTTATTCAATTTTGTGTTACAACTTGTTTCTATGATCTCTCGTGCTTGATCTCATTTGGCATTTTTGTGAACAGATGAAGATTTGACAACTTATTACATGGGTTTATTGTTTGTCGTTGATTTTGCAGAGGAGAGCTTAAGATCCTTGCAAAGTATCATTATTGAGTGCAATTACACACAGTCTCAACGTTGCATGCAAAGAAGAAGAAGAAGATATCATTCACTTTTTGGTTTGCCTCTTCTTCTTTACGTCCCATCTGATTCCAATTTGTTACCGTTATTTATTGTTTGTTATTTATTGTTTGTTGTTGATTTTGTAGAGGAGTGATTTGAGAAGTAGAAAGGCATCATTGCAAAGTTTCATTATCGAGTGGAATTATGCATTGATCTTGAGAGGAGAGATTTGAGGAGTCGAAAGATATCCTTGCAAAGCATCATGATCGAGTGCCTGTAAGTATACTGATTCCAGCTCAGTTTGATTCCATCACTTTGATGAAGCATAATTCTACAACTGCTGCATCACTGGAAATAATTGCTAACTAACCTATCTGTAAGCTAAAAATTGAATGATATATGTTTCTATGTCAAAAAGTTTGTTGTCCATTGATAGAGACTAGATAGCACTCCTTATTCACATGTAAAATCAGCTTAATCTTATGCTGCTTATATTGGTTCTCTTGTTGGAAATTGTTGAAAACTACTCTATAGACTGAAAATTATTTTCTTGCGGGTCCTCATATGTGGTGATCAGCAGGGTAATCTTAGCATGTGTGCTTTGTCAGATGGTCTTAAAGTTGATAAGTCAAGTAAGATAGAGGAGAATTTTCCTTTATTCAGTCAATTTAAAGGGGCCCATGGGATTTCTTGTAATACCAGTGTTCTGATTACTACATTGAATCTATATGAATGTGCACGGTAATGACTGCATATTTAATTTAACACCATATAAGTCCTGCGACACACCACTTATTTTCTCTCTCTTTTTTAGACTGGTGGCAATGGATGCATTTGCAGCACACCACCTATTCTCTCTCTCTTTTGTGTTTACTGGAACGAAGCAAGTGCAAGAGTTGAGCACCAGAACTGTTCTTATCTTGGAGATGCTTCTGAACACTGGCACCGTTTTGCATTGTATGTAACTGTCGCTTCTTCATTCCTTCTCTTTTAGGAAAGTTGCGTCACATATAATTTGTCACTGTTGTGCAGGATGGAAACTACAAGTATAGAATGCTTCATCAGTTTTTTGAGAGAATGAATTAGTTTTTCATGTCTGGTTACTATATATATATATATGTGTGGTTAGCTTTACTTCCCTTTTCAATTTTTTAACTGAGCGTTTAATAACATTATAAGTGGCACTAGTACAACAATTGAACAATATTGAGTAGTGAATCCTCTAACTGTTCTTAGTATAAATTTCAAGGAAGTGGTTTAATGGTTAATTCTTATACATGAGCAACATAAAACATGCATAGATAACTGAACTATAAGCTTAACATTGAACCAGGTATATCTTGACCACAGATTGTCCAACAGTCATGGTTAAATCATTCTTAATCTTTAAATATGTTCTCAGTACCCTTAAAGGGCGATGTTGACATATTTATATTTTGCAAGGGGTTATTTGTAAGATATGTTTTGTAGGTCTTATATAAGCTCATGTTATCTTTTCAATGAGATTAGGGTTTCTCAATTTCTACTGGCGATTACTTATTTGGTTGTGCCCCAAATGAAGAAGTTTTGCTTTCTCTGGATTCTGGATGCAGCTACTGAGGCTTTGACATGGGTAGGTAGGGAGCACATGGCCGAACTAGCCGACCCTCCCCTGTTCGAACCCCTCGCCCCCTGACCGTGCACCCTGTCGAACCTAGAGTTTGGCATGGATTCCCTCGATATTTCAGTCCTAGAACTGATGAGAGAAAGAGCATATATCTCACGGAGATGAGATATATCACTTTCAATTCTTGTTTCCTCTGAGAAACGAGTATTTTTTGTTGAGATCTTACTCTTATTGTGCAGCAGAGGTGCTGCCAAAAATTTCACTGCGCACAACAAGGGTTGAAGAAAAGGTGAACAGGTGTTGGATCTGAAGCCTGATCGATGGAGGAGATCATCAAGAAGTTGAACCCCGCAGAGGTGTCAACTTTGATGAAGTTGATGAAGTTGTCAGCTGATGAGAAAGCGACAAGACCATTGAAGAAGTTGGAGCTTCCGACCATCGATCTGAAGCTTGATGGACCGGTTACTTACCTGAGCTGGTCACAACAGGTGAGATACACCCTTGCAGGGAGGAACCTGGAGGGTTACTTGACAAGAAAGAAGACAGAACCGGATGAGGACTCGGGGGGAAAAGATGAGTGGAAGTCCACTCATATGTTGGTGTACATCTGGCTCCTCAACTCATTGGTCCAGTCGATCGCCGCCACAGTGGATGACATTGAGAAGGTGAAGGACGTCTAGGAGAAGTTGAGGACCTATGATGGAGTGGGGAATAACCTGAGGGTGTTCCAGATTAAGGGAGAGATCGACGTCACAGTCCGGGAAGAGAGGACTGTACAGAAGTATGCCACAGAGCTGGAGCTCCTGTGACTAGATTATGATCACTTCTTAACTCGGGCGAGCTGTAAGGACCCGGGATGTAAAGAGCGGGAGACCTTTCTACATGAGAGGACTATGGTGTTTCTCAAGGGATTGACATCAGAGTTTGCTCAGCGAATTGCATTGCTGCTAGCTCAGCCGAAGATTCCCACGCTTGAGGAGGCTGTCTCGACCATGATCCAGAAGGAGACTCGCATTAGGCTACAGGCGGGGGCAGGGGGACTTCCTGTGGTGAAGTCAGCACTGGCAGCCTCTAACAACACTGGATCCAGGAGAGAGACTCGGCAGTGCTACAACTGCCGTGAAGTGGGTCATCTAAGGCATGCTTGCACCAAGCCACCCAAGGAAGGAGATTCGGGTGGACGTGGATAGTTCGGAGGTCATGGTCGTGGCTGTGGGGGTCGACGAGGTGGAAGAGGAGCAGGCAACCGGGTGAATCTGATGGTAGCAGAGGGAGAAGAAGAAGCTGAGGTGGTCTTTACTGAGGAGGATCATGCGCTCCTGACGATACTCAGGAGGAAGCAGAAAGTAGCAGGGGATGGAGACAGGAGGAGTGGGACTGAGGAGGCATCCACTTCGTTCTTCGCCAGAGGCAACACCGCTACTTATGCTTATCCGACCAAAGGTACTGATGACATACATGCTCTTGCTTCTATATCTCCCGACAGATCATCAGAATAGATAGTCGACTCCGGTGCGTCTCGACATGTGATAGGTAATGCTAGTGAGTTCTCATCATATACTCACCTAGCATCGCCTGATAGTATTCAAACAGCTGATGATACATTTCAACCAGTGGTTGGTAAGGGTACAGTCGATTGTACAGGTTCTGTAACTTTGTCCAATGTTTTGCATGCTCCTTCCTTTCCAGTCAATCTTTTGTCCATTAGTGCTATCATCCTTCAACTAAAATGCATTGTTTCTTTTGATATTCCCAAGGTGATCTTTCAGGAGAAGGAGACATGGCGGAGACTTAGGACTGGCACATGGTGTAGTGGACTGTGGTATCTGGATCGTGAAGGGCTGGATTCAGCGTTGGTGTCAATGGTAGAGAGAGCAGGAGTAGGATCTGAGATGAGTGCTGAGAGTGTGTTGATGCTTCATCACCAGCGTTTGGGACACTCATCCTTTAGTGTTTTAAGTAGATTATATCCATCATTATTTGAGAAAGCAAATAAACAGAAACTTATATGTGATGCATGTGAGTTTGGAAAGCTTACTAGAAGCTCTTATGTTAGTTCTGATCATAGGAGTTCTCATGCGTTGACCTGATATATTCAGATGTTTGGGGGCCTTGTTCCACAAGTTCTATGAATGAATACAAATATTTTGTTACCTTTATTGATTGTTTCTCTCGCGTTACTTGGTTATATCTAATAAAAAATAAAAGTGAAGTGTTTGGTTGCTTTCAAAACTTTCATAGCTATGTTAAGACTCAATACGAAGCAGTGGTGAAGGTATTGAGATCTGATAATGGGACAGAGTATACCAACAGAGCGCTTGGGGAATATTTGTCCGCTCAGGGAATACAACACCAGACGACATGCACATACACACCAGCCCAGAATGGGGTAGCGGAGAGGAAGAACAGACATCTTTTAGAGGTCGCTAGAAGCATGATGATCTCTATAAATATCCCAGAAACATTATGGGGTAAGCAGTGTTGACCGCAGCGGCGCTGATCAACAGAATGCCCTCAAGAATGCTGGATTGAAAGTCTCCGTGTGAGACGTTAAAGGGAGATAATGGTGGGCTTCTTCCATTAAAGGTGTTTGGCTGTGTGTGCTTTGTGAAGGACAACAGACCATCTGTCGGGAAGCTTGCCCCTAGAGCGGTGAAGTGCATCTTTTTGGGATATTCTGCTACTCAGAAGGGATATGTTTGCTAGAGCCCGGTGGAGAAGAGGCTGTTTATGAGTATGGATGTACACTTTCGAGAACTCGAGCCATATTATACCCGAAAGGTAACCTCACCCGTTGGTGACTCGCCCGATACTGAAAATATGAGGCGAGAGGGGGAGAATTGTGAGAGGCAGGTGAACAATGTAGAGAATAATGTGGAGAAATCGATTTCTGTATCGATTCCTTAGGAGGGAGAATTGGCTGAGGAGGAGCAGGAGAATGAAGAAGAAGAGGAGAAGGAGACAAGAGGTGTTAGGTCTACGGTTCAGGGGGAGCTACTAACCTATAGTAGGAAGGGGAAACAGATTACAAGAACAGTACCTACAGTGCCACTAGTGCTGTCAAGTCCCTTGCCAACGCCTGCCCCGACTCCTGAGACACCTACACCACCATCAGATTCTTTCCAAGGTGATAACATTCCTCTCCCTACTCCTCCCACACCAATATCAGTACGGAGGACTACTCGCAGTAATATGAGAAATCCTTCCGATAGATACGGATGGGATCTTACCCAGTTTGTATCATATTCTAACATTCATCCTGCATATGGAGCATTCATTGCATCATTGGACTCTGCTACTGTACCTAACAATTGGCAGGTTGCTAAGAAGGACCCAAAGTGAAAAACAGCTATGCACGAAGAGCTGGGGCTCTTGAGAAGAACCACACTTGGGAGTTAGTAAAACTACCAAAAAAGAAGAGAGCAGTTGGATGCAAGTGGGTCTTCACTGTGAAGCAGAATCCAGATGGACAGGTTGAGCATTATAAGGCTCGTCTTGTGGCAAAAGGGTATAGTCAGACGTATGGAATCGATTATGATGAGACTTTTGCACCGGTGGCGAAGATAAGCACTGTTCGGACCTTGATCTCTCTGACAGTAAATGGTGAATGAAAGCTATACCAACCAGATGTGAAAAATATAATTCTTCATGGAGATCTGGTGGAAGAGGTATACATGAAAATACCACCAGGATTCGACACAGATCAGACAATGGGCAAGGTTTACAGATTGAAGAAGTCTCTATATGGCCTCAAGCAATCTCCCCGTGTTTGGTTCGACAGATTCAGGCGGGTTATGATAGGTATGGGATATCGGCAGATTAACGTTGATTATACCGTGTTCTTTCGACGGAGTGAAGGTCACGTCACCATGTTTGCCGTGTATGTGGATGATATGATTATTACAGGGGATGATGAGAAGGAGATTGCCCAACTCAAAGTGAGACTGGGTAAGTAATTCGAGGTGAAAGATCTTGGCTTGCTTCGATACTTTCTTGGAATAGAGATAGCTCGAGGAGCGGAGAGGATTGTCCTATCCCAGAGAAAGTATGTACTAGATCTTCTCAAAGAGACAGGGATGTTAGGGTGCAAACCTGTAACTACACCGATCGATCAGAAGTTCAAGCTGGGTGCTGAAGTTGGAGAACCAGTTGATCGTGACAGATACCAAAGGTTGGTGGGCAGGTTGATCTATCTGAGTCACACACGTCCCGATATCTCTTTTGCAGTGAACGTAGTGAGCCGCTACATACATGATCCGAGGAAGGAACATATGGACGCTGTGTACCAAATTCTGAGATATTTGAACAGTGCCCCCGGAAAAGGGCTGATATTCAGAAAGAATGGACATGTGAGCATTGAGGGTTACTGCGACTCTGATTGGGCTAGCTGTGCTGATGATAGGAGGTCCACGTCAGGATACTGCATCTTTATAGGATGCAACTTGGTCTCGTGAAAGAGCAAGCAGTCAGTGATGACGAGATCGACAACTGAGGCAGAGTATAGAGCTATGGTGTTAGGAGTTGCTGAGTTGCTATGGTTGAAGAGTATGCTGGTGGAGCTAAAGCTGGATCAAGGAGCTAAGATGAAGTTGTAGTATGATAACAAGTCAGCCATCAGTATCGGCAACAACCCAGTGCAGCATGATAGAACCAAACACATCGAGATTGACAGGTTCTTCATCAAAGAGAAGTTGGATAGTCGACTACTGGAGCTAAGTCATGTTTCAACTAAGGATCAGGCAGCAGATTGTCTGACTAAGGGACTTAGCTCAGTAGATATGATTAGAGGATGTGACAAGATGGGTTTAGTGGATATCTTTCGCCCATCTTGAGGAGGAGTGTTGACATATTTATATTATGTAAGGGGTTATTTGTAAGATATGTTTTGTAGGGCTTATATAAGCCCATGTTATCTTTTCAATGAGATTAGGGTTTCTCAATTTCTACTGGCGATTACTTATTTGGTTGTGCCCCAAATGAAGAAGTTTTGCTTTCTCTGGATTCTGGATGCAGCTACTGAGGCTTTGACATGGGTAGGTAGGGAGCACATGGCCGAACCTGCTGTCAGGTCTATATACTTTGCATCGAAGACACACAGACTTACTGCATGTCAAAGTTGCAGGTCTAACCATGATTTCATCAACAAAAAAAAGTGAGGATTTATTACTTATCTCTGTTCGGCCCAAGCAAGTTTTGACGTCTTGGATTCTAAAATATATAATACACAAAATAAAAGTTTGCATCAAAATGGTTCAAATACATATTTGAACACATATCTAGTCTTAGTACATTAATGTACTTCCAGTGGTTCTCAAGTCTCAGCTCATATGCCACCTAAGCTTCCTAGTGTTCATTCGAAAGGGAAAGGAGAACTGGAAGCTACTGAAAATGGAAATTGTTCAACCATGAAATTTCCCTGCCTCAGAGAAGAAACTGAATCCCAATCAGACCTTATGGATTGGCAAGACAATGACTGGAGATAAAATGGCAGTTACTGCATTTCTTGTGAAACATGCTGATGACACGTAATGAGATGTCTATTTGCTATCTAGGTGCATATATGTCAGCTATGCTAAATGTGTTGTATTGTGTAATGGATTTATCTGCAAAAGTTAATCACTCTCCTTTCCTTGAATACCAGGTTAAATGTTTGTTTTATAGTGGTTGCTTGTTCAGATGCTACTCTTATGCTGCGGTGCTTCCGTTGCCTTTCTGGCTGTGGTATGTCATATTCCCCGAGCAATCTATTTCTTTTTCATGTTTGGGTTTGTCAGATAATCACTTGATGTGGAATATTTTTATTTTTCATTCTCCACTATATCTTTTCTCCAGGGAGATTGCTGCATTGGTTACAAAAACATCTCCAGTCGTAGCTCTGCAGCATTTGGTCATTCTTAGCAAAGGTAAGCACTTCATTATCCAGTATGTTTTTAGTTATAGTTTGCAGAGCTTAAAACAAATTTCCAGAATTGTGCATGCAAATTAAGCAACTTAAGCTATTTAAATTCTTCGATTTTTGTTCAACATAAGCCTCTAATTGTTGGTTCATGTGAGTTTATTACTTCAAATCAGCTGGAAGATGAAGCAAGATGTGGCATAAAGGAACTAGTTTTCATATTTACTGAGAAGAGTGTGGTGTGTGGGAGTATTATATGCAAGAAATGAAGTTAAAATGACAATCGATTATAACTCAACTTGGACCAATAAATTTTGGACATCTTGCAGATATTAGCCGCCAATATGTTTTAGTTTCCCTCCTCATTCTCCAAAGACTCTGGTAAGTGACAACCGCTCCAAGTTGCAGCACCAATTCCAGGATTGATTTGTTGAACTTATTTTTTTCATTTTACCCAAATTTCATTGCAGGAAAAGTTTTTGTACCCTCTCTTGCGTGCATATTAATTTTTTTATGTCATATCCATTGCATATTGTTTCTTGTCTGCACCGTCTCCTTATTTTGCAATTTAACAATCAATGAAATCTTTTCCTGAGTAAGACGCCCCTTTTATCATTATCGAAGACTACACGGACTGATATGCCAGAAGAATAAACATGACTTGGTGAACTAAGCAAATATAAATCAGGTTCTCAAATACAAAACTATCTAGAGAACTTTGCTGTCGTTCAGTAATGGAATGGGCCCATATTTTGGGAAGAATAATGTTCATTAATTTCAAATAAATTCACCTTAATTCTTGTTATTCATTTCTGTCTAAATTTACTTCAACCTATGTAATGCTAGGTGTGTTATTAGGGCCTTTTCAACCTGTAATCGAAGCTGCAAGGTAGTTATATTTGCTCTCCTGTATCAATTATAAATTTGCTAACGCTGAGTTCTCTGAAGTATCTCATGTGACATTTTCAGAGCTTATGATAAAGCAGCAATCAAATGTAATGGAAAAGATGCAGGGACCAATTTAGATTTGAGCGTTTATGCATATGAGCTTAATTGTAACTGTGTACTTTCACTAAGAACTGTATGCTTCAATCTCGTTCTTATGAGTGAATGTGTCAGTTTCTGGGCTAATGCAGTTAATAACACTGATCATACTCTGGATCTTAGCTTGGGAACTTCAGGATTGAAAGGGTGAAATCTAGACCAGATTGATGAAAAAAGCTCAATCATAATGGATTAAAGAATGCCTGTGGTTTTTGAGACTGATTGGATAACTAGCAAACTGTGATATGCTTCCTTGTGATAGTTCAGATCACAAGCTAAAGTTGCTGGAAGAAGATAGCAGAGTGGATTTTCCTAATACTTGTGAAATTCAAGGGCATAACATGAAAGGTTTTCTCTCAATGATGAACAATTCATCCTATAGATATCCACAGTTCAATCCATCTTAATATCACCAAGTGAGTGTACCTTTAATGCACAAAATATAAAACATGACGTCTAATTATCCTATGAGCCTCTGATATTGATGTTGCTTTCTGCAGTCCTTATCCTGTCATGTTGTCAGTCAAATATTATTGTACATAACCTTGTTTCCTAAAGATGTTATGTGGAGTGCTTTTCCAATAGTTTAGCATTTTCTTAAAAGATCATAATTTGGTAGCTAATTACAATAACCCAAATACTCCATTGCCTTTGTCCATGTTTATTGGTTTAGTCCATTATATATCGGTTTAGTCCAATATCTCTTGTTTTCCCTCTGAAAAACTTGCTGATTGTGTTTCTTTCTCATATACTTTCAAGCTACATATAATTTATCATACGCTGTAACCATTGTGCTATGCAATCTTTTATTTCTTATATGGTCATAGAATCAATCTTTGAGCATCCAAGAAGTAACTGGAAATCAAAAACCAAAAAAGGGTCAGAAAGAGCACATCAAGACTCATGCTACGCTGCTGCAGTGATTACAATTCTGATGCCAGATCAAAGGGAAGTATGACATCATTATGAACAACTAGAAGTCTATTTTCAGAACCAATGGACTAAATAATTTTAATGCCCTATCTTTATCTCATATTTATGAAAATTAAATCTAGTAACAAACTATTTCCCTACTATTTAGATGTTTGATTATGGTTTGCGAGAGCATTATCTCTTTAAAAAAACAACCATTGTTTGGAAGATAACTTGACTAGCTACACATAAGAATAGACTGTATCCTTGAACAGGCTTCACGGCAAATTACGTAACAGGAGTAGAACCTTTATTCCAGATATTTAGGGTGGTTGTAAAAGCAACTTCCTTTGTAGAATTAATGGCTGTCATATCCTTTTTTGCTGCCTCGGTCTCTGAAGTCTGAGCTTGTTTCAAGTGCTCCAAACATTGGATTTATGATATAGAACCTGCAAGGAGTCAACAGTCTCTGTATGCTTTACCATGCGTAACTTTTATCAATACATTGTTCCTCTTGCTTTATGCAAGTGAATAATCCGTTGCTCACTTGGACGGGTGGTAAAAGTTCATAAGGAGGATGCATCGTCCGAACTCTTATTATCATGGAGAAGTTCCTGAAGATCTGAACTGTTTTGCTTACCTGTAACTGTTACTTTTAAGAAAAATTGAATCACATCACATATATAATTTGTCTAAAAGCTGTGCAGAATGGAAACTACAAGAGGAAAAAAACGCTTCATCAGCATTTGTTGACAACGAGTTAGTTTTTAGTTTTCAATTACTGTATATACGTGTGATGAGCTTTCATTCTCTTTTTGACTCTTTAACTGAGTGTTTAATTACATCAATAAGTGGCACTGGCACAATAATATTTTCTTCTTCGCTTTTGGTTTTCCACTCTTCCATGTTTTTTGTTATATTTATTTATTTATTTGTGGGGGTTGGTTTATCCGTTCCTAATTTGTGTGTGGTTTTTGCAGATATATTCCTTCATGACATGTGGATACTTTGGTTGGTTGGTTTATTAATATACATGGTATTTTTTTTCATCTTTCAAATATTTAATAGTTTAGTGCTCGAAAACCTTAATAGAAACTATCCAGAAATATATCTGCATATAGTTTCCTAAATTATATTAGAGGGTGTTGTATTGATGGTAGTGATAATAAGGTGAGCGTGAGTGTTGAAGTATAAATATATTATGGGTTCAGTCTGTGATTTATGGCCAAATTATCAATGCTGACAATTATAAATCTCCTTAGTCATGCTCCAAACTTTTACACTTTTGTAGTTGACAAACAATTGGCAGTTCATTAAATTAGCTACCTATGGTTTAAATGTCCAAAAAGGAGTAATGTCTGGAATGTCGAAACTAGTTAAGGAAGAAATGGGTAAACCAAGATTGCTTTCAGATCTTGATATAAGGTTGGATTAAGGAAGAAATTGTTGAACTCCTGTGATATACCGACTTAGCGATTAAAAAACCTAAACTTGGAAAAAATGAAAACTAATGAATGGCCTCAGTTTATACTTGTCATGGGTTTTGTCGATTCTTCAGTTCTGTGTCTATCACCAGCTTCTTCCGAGGCTTGCGATTGGATATTCTTCTCCGTTACAATGTCATAACATTTTAGTCTCTGTTATGACCCTCCATAGACCATGTAAGTAACATACATCGGCAACATGTCTTCTCTGCACAATTTGCACCAGTAACTTCACAGTCTTCCTTGTTGATAATCATAAATATAAGAAGGTTGCATTGGTCAATGGATATCTTGAGTGCAGATTGTTCGACAGTTGTACCTAGATCATGATTGAGCTTGGCTTGAGAAGTTGCTAGCCATTACAACGCTTGTATTGATCCGTGCGAAACTGTGCATGAACGTTTCTATAAGATTCACAGCCCTTGCTAGGTTGTAACATGCCCTCTCATTCTTCTTAGTATGATAGTATCCTTAAAAGGCGATTACTTAATTATTATGTCTAAATAGTTTCTCTATATTGCTATAACTGGATTCCGGATGCAGGTACAGAGGCTTTGACATGAGAAGATGGTGCGATTTCAAAATGCTTGGAGAGCATGTTGGTGGATCTGCTGTTTAGGTCTATATACTATTATATTGAAGACACATAATAATGGCAAATGAAACCTGCAGTTCTAACAATGTAAGCTGACAATATCATTGTATACTGAAAATGGCACAAGGCTAACTGACATGCCTGAGATTACTGCAGAGTTTGTTCAGTATTTCAAGAAACTTTTGGGTAATGCTAAGGACACAATTGCTGCTGATCCTAATATTATCTCAAATGGTAATATTTTGAACTCTGCTCAACAGAGGGAGTTGAGTTCTCCTGTTTCCAGAGATGAGATTAAGCAAGCTTTATTCTCAATAGCTGACAGTAAGGCCCCTGGTCCTGATGGGTTTAATGCTGCTTTTTTCAAGGCTGCGTGGAGTGTTATCAGTGAAGATTTATTTCTGGCGGTAGAAGAATTCTTCTTTTCGGGTAAGCTTCTAGGCACTTTTAACACCACAGCCATTACCTTAGTGCCCAAGTCTCTTAACCCAAATACAGCTACAGACTTTAGGCCTATATCTTGCTGTAATGTTATATAGAAAATCATCTCAAAGATTCTGGCTAACAGATTGCAAAAAGTTATGGGCTACCTTATAAATGATGCGCAAAGTGCTTTTGTGAAGGGGATACTTATTTCCAGTAATTTTTTGTTAGCTCATGAACTCATAAAGCAATATGGGAGGAAGAATATCTCACCCAGAGCAATCTTGAATATTGATTCAAGGAAAGCATTTGACACCATTAGTTGGGAATTTAAGCTATGTTGATTGGTCTAGGTTTTCCTAATGTCATGGTTAGCTGGATTATGGAATGTATTTCCACTCCAAAGTTTTCATTAGTTCTTAATGGTGGTTTGCATGGTTACTTTCATGGTGCAAGAGGATTAAGGCAAGGGGATCCTCTTTCTCCCTATCTTTTTGTCATTGGGATGGAATTTTTATCAAGAAAGCTTGACACTCTGAAAGATGATAGGTTGTTTAAATTCCACCCTAAGTGTTTGAGGTTGAAGATAACACATCTTATATTTGCCGATGATTTGTTAATGTTTTGCAAAGCTGACATGAATTCTATTATGAAAATCTATACTTGCCTCCAATGCCAAAGGTTAGCTGGTTCAACACAGTTTGGGATGGGTTTCTTTATCCCAAGCATTCTTTTATTTTATGGTTGGCGTGTCATCAAAGACTCCTCACTAAGGACAGATTATGTAGAATGGGGATGATGAGTTCCAATCAGAATCAGTGTGTTCTATGCTGTGGTCATCAATTGGAAACAAGTAAGCATATCTTCTTTGAATGCCAATTCTCGGCTGATGTATGGAATAGGGTGATAGATTGGATGAGATTTAGATGGAGATCTTGTTGCTGGGACTTGATCATTAGTTGGTATTCTTGCAATTTGAAAGGAAGAGGACCCTTGAGGAAGTTGAAGAGAATGTGTCTTTCAGCAGCTGTGTATATGATTTGGGATGAGAGGAATCGAAGGATTTTTCAAGGCAAAATGAGAGATCCTTCTCAGATTTTCAGAGCTATTAGACTTTCAGTTTTTACAAGAGTATTGAATGATAGTTCACATGCACATATGATAGATTTTCTTGAGGTTTTGTAATTTTCTTCTTGTTTTACCAGTTCTCTGGTATTTTGATGTTCTTCTCATTGTTCACTTTGGTTTATGAATAAAATTTTAAGTTCATTGACCAAAAAAAAATGTAAGCTGACAAAAAAGTTCAGCAGTTAATTACTTATATCTACAGACATTAAAAACCTGCCCAATAATGGTTCAGATACAGAATCAAAACATATAAATTGTTCTACTTCGTCATTGTATTTTCAGTGTCTTCCAACTCATATGCCACCCAATATTGCTAGTTCTCATCAGAAAGTGAAATGGGAACTGGAAGCTCCTGAAAAGTGAAAACAGATGCTTTGTTGCCTTACCAGCTGCAGTATGAAATATTCACTGAGCAATCTATTTCTTTTTTTTTCTATCACTGTTTGTCGGATAATCAGTTGATGCAGCACATATTTTTCATTCTTCTTGATATCTTTTCCAGGGCTGACATTGCTGAAATGGCTTCACAAACATCTCCAGTTCTACCTTTGTTCAGGCTGAAGGTACCACTTCATTAGCCAGCATGTTTTTTGTTATAGTTTTCAGAGCTTAGAACAATTTATTGAAATTGTGTGCACAAATCAACAACTTAAGCTGTTTATATAATTCTATTTTTGCTCACATAAGCCTCAAATTTTTTATTCATACGAGCTACGACTACAAATCAATTATTAAGTCAGCTTGAACCAATATATTTTGGACCTCTTTCAAATATTAATTGCCCATAAGGATCAGTTTTCTTCCCCTCATATTCAGAGGACTATGGTAGGTGACAACTGCTTTAGTTGTCTGCAACTTTACAAGTGGGAAGTTGCCACATCAATTCTAGGATCAGTTTTGTAAACTTATATTTCATTTTATTTCACATCGTGTACATGAGAAATGCGTGTATCCTCTCTTCCATTCATATTGATTTATGTTCATGTGAATTTGATGAGATCAGTCTCTCGACTACACATCATTAATTCTAGAGCTTTGTAATTGCAACCAGTGGAAGATACGAAATTGCAGTAGCTGGATAGGTTATGTAGATGGCTAAGTTCTAGGCATCCACTGGCAAGGAGTGCTATTCTCCACAAAATATCTGTACAAAACTTCTTATTAGCAAAAGAACTCAGGAGCACGTTCTTCAAATACCCATATATGAATTTTCACTATTAACATAGAAACTGCATTTATTTCACAATTACCCATTAAAATATTACCAATACTAAACAATGTTAACAGTAAGTAAGGTTTGTGTTCTTTGGTGCTCTCAACTCCTTTCTTGCTTTCATCAATTGATTCCAAGGATATTGTATTGTTTTTGCTCTTCAGTTCCTACCTTTTGGGTTTTTAGTATGCAAGTAACTAGGCTAAAATGTGTAGTCCTGCAGAAATTACTTGGAAATATTATAGTGCTCCCAGTCTCCCTCCAATCTTCAAATTTTAATTCCCTGTACTGATGCTAAACTTACATTCTTAATCCCTCATAGCCCTTTCCTGGCAATCTGAAGATTCTGAACTCTTAAATTCCTATTTCGGCCATAATTTACAAGATTTGGACTTCTTATTTCGTGACAATAATCAACATTTCCTCATACACCCTACATAAAAATCGCAGTATGCACCTGAAACTTCTTTTACTTCTTTCCTTAGAAACCTCTACTGAACATTTCCATTTCCAGGTTGCTTTAATGATATCCTACGCTTTGGAAGCAGAACACTTTGGCTAGACCTCGCGATTATCAGCTGAAAATTAACTGCAGGAATTGTGATCTTCCACGTTTAATATCAGCACATACAGATGCTAAAGGTCATTATATTTCATCCATTCATATTAAACATTAAGGATGTTTTTAACCCTTCCTCGGTTTGAGTAAGTTAGCTTGTCAAGATCTATATAAAAATAAATTCGTATATACAGATATACAGCTTCAGCATGCTCTGTTCTATCTTCGCTTCCTCTTTACTATGTCCTTTAAAGTCATCAAATGCCTTATCAAGTCATTGGACAAGGTCAGAAGGAACTTTTGTGTGTGTGTGTAACGCCCTGCCCCGAAATCCCGGAGTCGGTACGTTATTAGATATGATGGACTGACCTCACAAACCACCACATGTCTTTTCAGCACGTTTTGTCCTCACTCACGCGCTCCCTGGAAAACTTCCCAGGGGGTCACACATCCTAGAATTTCTCCAGGCCAAGCACGCTTAACTTTGGAGTTTCTAAGAGTTGGGTTCCCTAAAAGAAGATGCATCTTGGTGGTATGAGTATTCCAATCAAATCTATCAATACTAATCACATCACCCTCTCAAGGGTTGGGGTATTACAAACTCCCCCACTTAAACTCGCAACGTCCTCGTTGCGCCAAATCATATCATCCCAGACCATACCATCCGTGTGAGATTCTAGAGGTGGCTCCTACGGCCTCAAGAGGTGGCTCCCGTCCTCTCGACATAGCACTTTGCGCCGCATAGCACTTAGCTCTCACAATTCCGGTTGTCTTTGCTCTGATACCATTTGTAACGCCCTGCCCCGGAATCCCGGAGTTGGTACGTTATTAGATCTGATGGACTGGCCTCACAAACCACCACATGTCTTTTCAGCACGTTTTGTCCTCACTCACGTGCTCCCTGGAAAACTTTCCAGGGGGTCACCCATCCTAGAATTTCTCCAGACCAAGCATGCTTAACTTTGGAGTTTCTAAGAGTTGGGTTCCCGAAAAAAAGATGCATCTTGAAGGTATGAGTATTCCAATAAAATCTATCAATACTAATCACATCACCCTCTCAAGGGTTGGGGCATTACAGTGTGTGTGTGTGGGGGGGGGGGTTGTTTCTTACGATATAGTATGTATAATGACTCTTGTTTGAGTAGTAACAAAAGTCTTGTTTGATACTAATATTTGTTTGATACTAATATTTGTTTGAGATGATATATATAGTACATGTGAAAACACGTATACGAAGGTTATGATGTAAAACGACGCAAAAATTAGTATTTACATTGATTTCAGCATTGGAACCATTAATGGTCTACAGCGAATCATCGATGGTATATAGTGAACAATCAGAGAAATTCAGAGAATCCATTTCGAACCATAGGTGGTCTACAGTGAATTATCGATGGTCACCACACTTCAATTATAGGTTTTCAGAAACTCGAAATCAAACCATCAATGATCTACAAGCAACCATTGATGGTGCTCGAGGAACCATTGATGGTCGTGGGGAACCATCGATGGTGACGATTGTATTTGGCAGATTTGAAGAGTTAATCACAGCCGTTCGTTAATCCCTTTCATCTCTAACTTCCACTATGATTTAGATATTTCTTTCCTGATTTATGAGATGATATATAAAATTGAAGAGATGATATTTGGAGAGAATACAAGGGTTTAAAGATAGAGCTTTAAGAGAGAAAATTTTAGGGTTTGTGAGAAAAAGATTAATTTGTGATTTGAATCCCTAGAGGCTGAACAAACTCTTTCTCGTCACGCTCAACAATATCGGATCGTCTTAGCGAGAAGAGTTATCCTTGGAATCAACATTTACTTTGTTCTTCAATGAGCTTCACTTCAATCTTTTGAAGAACAGTTTGCTAATCAAAAGGATTGTCTTTCTAATTTTGTGCTTAAACTATTTTTGATAGTTTATTTCTAACTTGTTTTACTCAAGCCAGTGATAATTGAGAGTTGAGACTAGCTAGGGCTAAGTGTTACTCGTTATGGAGTGTTAGGTTAGATGACTGATCCGAGTAGATCTAGAATATGGTCTTTGTAAGCCTACTTAATCAGGTTGTAATTCAAGAGAACTCTTAGCATAGTGAAAATGCTCGTTCGTGACATGGAATAGTGGACGTAGGATTGTTATTCGAACCACTATAAAAATCTTGTGCGTTCCTTAGTTGGTTTTTAGTTTGGTTGTTCGCTTTTAATTTTCTATATTTACTATAAAAATCTTGTGCGTTCCTTAGTTGGTTTTTAGTTTGGTTGTTCGCTTTTAATTTTCTATATTTTCACTGCTTATTCTGTGTTTTAGCGAAAGACTGTAGCATCTCTGACCCAAACACAGGCTGGGGAGCGCTCTTGTTTGTTGGGAAATTGTCTGTAAATTCAAGAGGAGGGGCTGGATTTTTTGAATCTCTCTGACTTTAATATGGCTCTTCTTTCCAAAGGGACTAGGAAATCTATCGACAACAATTCTCTTGAAGGTAAGAGTCCTTTCCTCTATCACCCTCGAATACTCTTCTGTCATTAATAGCACACAACCTATAGTTTCAGCTTCTAGATTTTGGCAAGATACTTCTTCTATTCACCAAACTTTAGTGTGATCTGTCAAGTGGAACTTAGGTGTGGATTCAAATATCAGTTTCTGGGAGGACAAGTGGTTGGAGTCTAGCTCTTTGTGTAGCTTATTACCCTTAGCTTGTAATCTGGCATTCTCCAAGTATGTCATTGTTCACCCTCAAGGATATTTTCTCGGCTTACCCTTAGCTTGTAATCTGGCATTCTCCAAGTATGTCATTGTTCACCCTCAAGGATATTTTCTCGGCAATAATTGTTGGGTATGACACCCACCCTATTCTCTGTCATGATTACACCGAGAGAGAAAAAGAGATATCTCAATGCTCAAAGACTTTCTTGCTTCCTCCAATTGCACTGTCAAGCAGTCTAAGGACATTGCCCTATGACCTACTAACTGAGATTATTCAGTTAAATAATTATACTTTCTTTTGAACATGGGTGAGATTCAATCAAGTTTTTCTCACTTCCTTTGGAAATCTTCAACTCCTACTAAGGTAAAGATTTTCTTCCGACTTCTTCCTAAGGGAAGTTAGCAGACATGAAAATTCGCTTAGGAAAGGCTGGGATGGTGATCCTGGTTGCCCTTTCTGCCAAATTGAGTTAGAAATTGATAGCCACATTTCTTCAATTGTGCCTATGCTAAGGATGTCTGAACCTATATTTTGTCTTGTTTTCCCTCGGTACAGTGGCCTGCAAATTTTGAAGATATTTTTATATTCTAACAGCAATTCTGTGCTAGATCATAAGCTTCGCTCTTTGTGGAAAGTTGTTTTCCCTGTCTACTGTTGGTGCATGTGGAGATTAAGAAACAATTTGATCTTCAACAAAGAAAAGACAACCCCTAAATGCATTGCCTCTAATATTGCACGCTTCGTGCTATTCTGGACAATATGCTCAGGTAGAAAGAAGGCTGTGATCATCAACGGGACGACAAAGGAGCATGGACTTGTCTCATGGAAAAGCCATATGACGAGTCAAATGTATTAATTATGTTTAGTTACAAATTGAGTCTAATCAGAAAAATCAATAATTATATTATTCAAAAATTATATAACGAGTAAGATTTGCCTCGTCTTCATTGTCATCCAAGTAAGATCCACCTCGTCTTCATCATATGCAGATTATTTATATTACTCAAAAATTAGATTTTATATATCTTATTTCTAGTTAAACTATAGCTAAAAGATCGTCTATATCAATTTTAATTTATCAAATTTTGACCAAACCCTATTGTTTATCAAAAATTAAAAAAATTATTCTAAATATACAGTTTTTTTTTCAAACTACAATTTTAGCTAAATAATAGAGAGAATATTATATATAAAAAAAGAAAATTATACATTGATGAAGAGTTGAAATTCGTCGGCGTGAGAGAGTCTAGGCAGTGTCAGAGTTCAACAATGCCGGAGTGAACTTTTTTGGGAAGATCTCAATTTGGGTTTAGAGAGAATAAAAGAGAGAAAATTGAGGGAGAAAGAGGTGATTTGATAGAGAATCAATCGAATGGGGAGAGAGATTGAGGGAGAGAGATTGGGAGAGGGTTTATCCAATTCGGACTTCTAAGAGGGAGAGAAATCGGGAGAGAGTTGAGAGAGATAGAGGAGGTCGTGCCCTACTTTTGGGCACACCTGGGGCTTTTATAGGCTTGACAAATACACGGGACTAGTCCCATGTATTTGTTGGGCAACACGAGCGGAAGTTTTTGTTTAACCCACGGGACTACGAGTCACGTGGGTTTTATAATAGTGAATAGAAAATCGACGGGGCTAGTCTCGTGTGTTTCGAAAACCACATTCAGCAAAACCGACCTCTTTTTAGCCAGCCTTGATGAGCTAGCCAAAAAGAGGTCGGTTTTACTAAATATTTAGCAAAATGTAGATGTTATAGCCGTTTTAATGATGGAAAATAATATCTAATCAATGGCAGACAAGTGTCTCGCATTATGCATAATCAAATCAGCACATCAAGACAATTAGATACTCAACTCGGTCGACTCGACACACCGACATCTTGCGAGGACGACTCGAACGACCCATCCCCCCCGACTAAGTCGACTACTTAACCACTCGACTTGACCGACTAATCGGCCGACACCTTGCGAGGGCGACTCAAAAGGCGGTACTTTCCGACTACCAGACGTGTAGAAAGGTGACGAAACGCCTCGAACCCCGAGCCCCTCCTGTGCTCTGATGACCAATCACCTTGTCATAAATGTCATTGAATATATTATGGGTGTCATCATTCCTCTACCTCTAATAGTATTTATGATACATCAGACCACGTCGGTACCGCACACCCCACATCACTTCGCATTAAACATCGAAGTGACCTCTTTACCACTCGTCGGCCGACACTTATAAAGTTGAAGCTAACTTGGCCGCCAGCCCATACCCGGCCAAAATTACCTTCCTACCCCTCCTTCCATTACTATAAAAGGAGGTACTATTTTCAATTACAAGGTAAGCTTTTCCACCATTCTCTGAACTTAAGAACTATTGCGGTTCTTTTT